TTCATAAAATATATTAATTCCTTGTCTGAAGAGTTGTCTTCAAATTATTTTCAAAAATCAAATTATCTGAAAGAACAATTCTTTCAGGGCAGTACCAAATTACCTACACTGTAGGTTAATGGACTGAAACCTATCAGAAAACAACTACTTCTCTGACTAATACCACGAAGGGCGTTGGATTATATCCGACATGTGTCAGTGCAGGGTTCTTCACTGAAGTTACTCCTGCCTATGCTGTTGGCGATACAACTGCCGCAATAGATTTTCAATTATTGGAACACACTTGCAGACCGCTTTCGGGCTGTTTGGTAGTGCAAGGTGGTGCAAGGTAGGGCAAGGTAGGGCAAGGTAGTGTCTATCATCAACATAAAGTCGATGATTTCCCATAATTTAAAATCAAATTCCTTTCGGAGTATCATTTTTTGAACTAGGCAGAAGCGAACAACAAACAACATGTTTGTCATCGCCCTATCTGCCTGTGAACGAGGTAACCAACCGCATATCCGCTCTAAAAGCGCATTGAGGATTTTCCTGTAGCGCTTGTGTTTTTTCCTTAAAAAAAGCTGTTTGGTGATGGATCCAGATGCTGTGTTATTCGTCTCTGATTTCATTTGGTGCCTTGCACCACGAATGCTTTCTTCTTGAGCGGTTTTGGGCGATTGCGTTAGACATTATGGAAGACGCTAAGGAAAACTGATGAACTGCTCGGGCTCTCTTCAATTAGATTCGATAAGGGTTCTATAATTCAATCCCTTTCACTGTCAATAATTCAATCTCTTTCACTGTAGTGTTTATTGACTAATTTTTCCGTTAGTGAAAACGTTTTTGACTCTATTGGGATGAGAGGTCTGAGTTTGGCGGTTTAAGAATTTATAATTCATATTTCCAAAAAGTAAACAAGTATTATGTTTTTATAATGTTTTTCTTACCAGTTTCCGGACTATTTGACGGCATTTCTTCATCACAATAGAGATTGTGTTGATTTTCTGAAAAGTCATGTCAAATATAAATTAGAATGTTTTTTTCTTTCCACTTATATTGTTCATCCTAAGTCAAAGTAGGTAGGTACGTGGTTTTTATAATTATCTTTTCACCTTTTTGAAATCTCTGATGATATTTTGACAGACGTAAAATACCTTGCAGTATTTGTTGAGGTATAAATTATATCGCATTATTTCAAAGATTTCAAATTTTTTTCAATTACTATCATTGAAGAAAAGGTGACTAATAGTATTTTTCAAAATGAAATCATGCAATGAAAATTATTTCGAATAACATGGGAAGATTATTTGAATTTATTTGTTAATTGATGGCAAAAACTAAATATTCTTACTCATTTTCTATAAACTGTTATGATCATAATTCCGTTATGACTTCGAAACAAAATAGTGGATTCTCATCAATTATCAAATCGTCAATCATAAAAAAATTATGGATTGAATATTACGTTGAAAAAATAATATTGATAACACTATGGGTGAACGCATGCGCAGTATTTTACATGTTCTTGAATAATGTACTCACACAGAACGGACTTATGTCCGGTTTTTATATTGCACTTCGTCATCCCTTTTTTAAATGGCTGATACTGATATATGTTCGTAAAATGTTTCTCATTTTCAAGCTGGCAGTATTTATTTTTCTGAAGGGAATTTCATTACTTGGGGAGTTGATAATACCCCCCCAAATATATTAGCAATTGGATACTATGAACATGAAATGCCAGCTTGAAATTCATCTTGTGAATTTCATCTTGTGAATTGTGAAATTCATCTTGTGAATTTCAAGCTGGCAGTATTTCTATGAGGGTTTAATTACAGCCCTCCATCCTCTTTGAGAATGGATGATATTTATATTGAAAGTTTGTAATATATCTCCCAAAATACCTTGTGAAATCAAAGCTGGCAGTATTTTTCTGAATGGATTTATATCCGGTTTGAATCATTCCAGGGTGAATTACACCCTCCCATTTCAAATCTCCAAAATTTATAAGGGGTATTGAAACAGTGTTTGCTGACGTGCTATATGAATATCAAATTTTGTGTATAAGAAATAGCTGAAGAGAGATAAAGATGTTGTTTGTGTAGCGACGCCACTGGAGAGATATTGTTTGTTTACCGACGCCACTGGTTATTTGGCCACTGGAAGTGGCTGCTAACTTTACACCGGTCAATTATACCTACACTTTTCAGGTTATAGTGCAGCAATAACTAAAATTTTGAGTGTTATATGGAACTATTCATAAGATTGTTTTATTTTGCTTGAAAAACTGATATTACAACAAGCGATACGAAGANCCAAGTTCAATGAGATAAAATATGCGAAAATCCATAATTTTATTATAATTTGATGAACCAAAAATAGTTATTTGAGGCCAGAAAGGACATGAATAGTATAAAATGAAATTATTTATATACTAACCTTCTAAATATTTCACTATCTTCCGCTTAATTCCTTGTAATTTAGTTTCGACTGCTATAAAAAAATATACGGAAGTGAGTAACACCGATAGTAATAACAATGAAATGGTTCTTTTCATATTGAAATCTTTTGTATATCAATCAATATTAAAACAGTGCATTGGATATTTACTTCGTCACCAACGTTAACGTTGTTTCTGATGGATTTACTACTGATGTACCTAACTGAAACGTCTGAAAGAAATCGCAGATATACAGTGCATTTCTACATATGGCAATTCCAACAACCCGATAAGGTTTGTTAAGTTATTTTTTGTTTATAAAAACGACAATGAACATCATTGTTCAGTTAGAATATTCTCATTTAGTTTAGAAAAAATTAACGTTTGGGCAGGAATATTAGGAAACCATATTGTAGGACGTCTATTTACTGATCAAAATTCAACAGTCAACCCTCTCATCACTGAAATCGTCGAAGCGAATTCTAATGAATTCGAAATGGATATTGTATTCCAACAAGATGGAGCACTACCACATTACTCCAGACAAGTAAGAAACTATTTGGATACTACTTTTCCCAGTCGTTGGACTGGCCGTCAAGGTCCTACAGAATGGCCAGCCCGCTCACCAGATTTGACACCTTCGGACTCTTTTATGGGGCTATTTGAAGCAAAATCATCCAATTGTACAATCAGCTATAGATAGTATATTCAATAGTGTAGCTGTTGTAGCAGAAGACATTGATGCTTGGTGATCATCTTCAAGAGGAATCTTCTTTTTGAAGATGATCACTTGGTGATTGAAACACGTGTCAAGGTGTTAAAAATAACGGTTAGGTGTTGGGATAAAACCCCAGTGATATTAATAGCATTAGCTCAAAGAACAAGAGGATTAAATGTAACTGTAATGTTTTTCTCAAGATGAAAAAATTCATATTCAACATGATTAGATTTTTTTAATTCTGTTTTTCAATATCTTCACTGAAATTGGTTTTAATGGTCTGACAAAACTGTTTTTCAAAAATTAATGGTAGATCATAGTTTATCTTTTACTCACCTGGATTAATTGGCACAAAGAAAACATCTGGCAGGTTATATTCTGGAAAAGAAGAAAGTTTAAACTTGAGAATTGATAATTATTTGTGAAAAGTGAAAAAATTTCATGATTTTTTTCTTATTTGGAATCATACTGGTTCCAATTGAATTTGGTAAAGTTCTGACAATGGGACAAAATCACCAAACCATCAAATTTGCATAAAAATTACAGATTAACGAAAAATTCTTCAAAACACTTACCAATTTCATTAATGATACATAGTTAGTTTCATGTGAATTTATTCAAAATCTGAAGATGGTATTTTTTCGATATTTTTCCATTTTGCTGTTATTTTCGTCAACTTGCGTTGAAGTAGAATTTTT